AGAATGGTCTCACCATTTGATGAGAAAGCTTTACTGTTTTTGTGATTTCAAATAAAAAGGAGATAGGTCCTGGATGAGGCAAGGAATAAAGAGGAGGTGAATTTGGAAACAAATTTGCTTGGAACAGAACAGATGTTATGCCTCATTCTACATCTCTAATTTCTCCTCTGGGCTTGGCAGTACTGGCCCTGATTCTCCTACTTTTCTCTAGTCTTCTTCCTCCTCCTCTTGCCTTATCCAAAGTCTTTTCCCCCACTCTACTTGCCTTGCAATTTTGGAATTTTCCACCTTCATTTTTTACATGTATTATGATGTGACATGTTAGTAACTATATAAAAAACAACAAACCCTGGTAACCTTCATAATTCCTCCAAGCTTGTCTAGCCTCTTGTAAATGAAAAGGTGAAGTTTTAAATATCAGGTTTTATTTATACAACCATAAAATTTTAGAACTAATGCTAGACATCGTTTCATCCACTCCATGTGTTGTTTTTAGTAAGAGATTTTCTTGGGATTTTGGAGTGGCAGGAAAAGGTAGACATGGGGACAGGAGAGAGAGATGCGGGAGGGAGAAAGGGAGAAGTCTGGGCAAGTTTGGTTTTTATTGTGTGTTTTAATGCAATTCCCTCTGAGGATTTTTCTAGAGACTGCAAAAAAAATTTAATTGCCTTTCGATTGTGTCGGATATAAGAGCAACATTTCTTTGAATGAAATTCCTAGCTATGGGCAGCTCCAGGGAAGTTTGGCTCAGTTGGGTTAAGTGGGCAAATCTGCAAACCTACCCTCACCTGCATCCATCTTCTTCTTCTTCCTTTACCTGGGTAAATATCTTTCTTTTCAGCCAAGACCAGTCCTCTCACTGGTGTCTGGATCTTCCTGAGTTCTTAAGAATACCAGTTACCCACCCTCTGCTCCCTCTACTTTGCTGCCTTGTCCATTTTTTTTCTTCTTCACTAGATTACTCTCCTTGGCTTACACATATGCAGTATACTCTAGATGCCTGCACCATGCATACTCCTTCTGATATCACCCTCATTTCTTTACCCTCGTTTTTAGCAACAATTTTCAAGAGTGTTGTCTATGCAGGTCATTGTGATCTTCATTGCCTTACCCGCCCATTTACTCCTTAACCTGTTCTAATCTGACTTCCAATCCCTCCACTGAAACTACTCTTGATAACACAATAAAATGTCTTGGTGATGACAGATCCAAATGGTGTTTTTCTGTTTTCATCTTCATTGTCATCTTAACATTCAACATATGGCTAGTGTAATTGAGGAACCAGAGCCATGACCCAGTTCCTTTTTGGAAACTTTCTCCTTTCTAGGTTTCTGTGATGATGCACACTCCTTGTTTTCTCTAATGTCTCTGGCTCTTTAATTTTATTCTCTCTTTTGGTCAGAAATCAATGTCTATTTTGTCTACTACTTCCTGTATAATGGCTGGTACTGAATCTGGTATATAGTAAGCTCTCAAAAAATATTGATTAAATGAATAAATGAAATAGTTTCAGTACCATGAGCATCATGTTTTTCCCTCTAGAGATCTGTGCAGTATGGTAGCTACTAGCCATATGTGGTTATTTAAATTTAAATTAATTAAAATGAAAACTTCCTCAATTATACCCGCCATATTTCAAGCACTCAATAGCCACATGTGTGACTAGTGGCTAACATATTGGACAGTGCAGATTTTTAGAATGCTGCCATAATTGCTGACAGTTCTATTGGCTGGCGCTGTTCTAGTGAGTTTAAATTTAAGCGCAGTTGCTGAAGCCTGGGCCACGTAAGTCATAAGGTCATGCAGAAATTTGGGCAAATTATTGTATCTCTCTACAGGCCTACAAAATCATACAGGGCAAATGGTTGACTAGAACAAACAGGTATTCCTACTATTATAAAGGAGGACAGAGTAGTATCCTAGTTAAATGCACAGGATTGGTAATGGACAGAATTTGAGACCTAGTCCTACTATAACATTTGACAGTTACGTGTCAAGGGCAAGGGTTTCTTCCATTTTGCCTCTTTGTACTTCAATTTCCTTTACTGCAAAATGAGGTTACTAGTGGTACCTTTCTTATAGGGTTGCAGAAATTAAAGAAGTTGATGCAAATAAAGTAGTTAGTATTGTTCTCAGCACAAAGTGAGAGCTCAATACATGGCAGCTAGTATTATTGTTGTTATTACACGTATCCCCAGGATGAAGGCACACACCTACACGTTTCTTCTTCTATTCCATCAGTGCTCTCTAACCCTGCTATAGTTTTTCAGGTAACATAACAATAGTGACTAAAGGGTTATACATTCTAGGCCGACATGACAGGAGAACAGGATTGGAGTCTTTAAGAAGTTCAGGATTTGACTGAAAATATTTGCTACAGAATGGATAGAATCTTCTAGGACCCTGCATTTTCAGCTTGAATCTCTGCATGCATGCACTGGGAACAGACTCAGGAAGGTTGGCTTGAGCAGCTTCCACCAGGAGTCCACATGTTCCCCACAAATATTGCACTGTCAAATATCTATTCTCTTTGCCCTGACAGCACAAAGAACTGCTGTTGCTTTTCCAAACTGGGAGAACACCTAATTGAAAGATAGACAACCTGGATTTCCAGTGGTCTTCTATTGGATCCTATCAGTTACTTTATAAAGGTATTGTCCAGTTCCTTTTAACATGTGGATAACCACCCACAATTTTTCAGTTTCATCCTAATAATGCTGGTAAGTTAACTAACCTATCTTTGCAGCGACTGACAGAGTCTCTGAAGAAGCACTTCTACAAGTGCTTGTCATTTGCGGTTTGACATTTCTGACTTGCTGTGCCCCATGAGCATGAATTTGGAAATTCCTTTAGGAAGGATTTACATGTCACAAAATTTTAGGATAGGTCTGATTATCATTTGTAGTCTCAGCTTCAGATTTTCTTTCTTATTAGAGACTTACTCAGTTCAGGTCAGCAGCAGTTTCTATGAAAGGAATTGGTTTGCCAGATTTTAACATAGAAAGTGGTTCTGACACACCTGTTTAGGGACTTACTAATTTCTTGAGTGTAGTAATTTGAGCAATTCACATGTGAAATACTTTTTTAGGTAACATCCATTAGTAGCAAGAGCGCTGATCGCCTCTCTTCCTATCCTCTGTAGCCCCAGACCCAGCTACTATTAGTAGATTCCACAATGAGCTGCTTCATTTCCAAAAGTTCTTATGGTCAGCTTTTTAAAAATTAGAGTGTTTTAATTCAATCTGACATCTACTAGAACAGAAGATTGGTTCAACTTAACTTTCGTTTTGTTCAGACGTGATTGCCAATGACTCATTTCCATATTTCTAGTCTTCCCATCACCTTTTTGATCTCTGTGTCTGCCAAGTTCACTGGGTTAGAACTTGAAACTAGTGTGATCCTCCAGCCCCAGGGTTCCATAAAGCCCCTGTAACCTTGCCTAATGGTACTGTAGCAAGAGGAACAACTAGACATCTATATAGACCATGACAAATCTTTCTTGGAAAACAGTTTTGGTGCTTGCCCTTCTCAAGATGGTTGAGTGCAACATCTTCCTTTCTAAATAGCAGCATATTCTTTAGTCTTTAACTGCAAAAAATTGGATTTACAATTGAATTAAAGGCAGAATTTTTAACTGGGCACCACAAAATATGGTTTTCTAAGTCGGTGAGAAGAAATATTAACTTTTAACTCTTCAGTTCTTTCTGGTAATAATATTTCCATCAGTAATCACCCTGAAAAAGAAAAAGCAGGTAACTATGATTTGGAGCATGTGGAATGGTCTTTATATAGACATAAAAGATGAAAAGATGAAATGTTTTCCTCTCTATTGCTGAAACAGCCAAAGAAAGAGAAGGAGGACTGATAGACAGCAGCCTGTTTTCTACAGGGAATATATTAAATACCCTTGATAATGAGAGTGTTAGCTCCAGGGACAAAGAGTTAGTTCATTTAAATGATTATTACTTTGTCTCGTTTGCTTTTTTTTTTTTTCTTTCATACTTTTTTTTTTTTTGTATTTTTCTTTGAGCCACGGTTTCTGTCCTTTACCAAGTATTTACAATTTCTTTCAAGTGAGATCAAATGGGATTGCACTTCCTGTTTCATGGGGGTTGGCTCCACCATTGAAAATTATGGGTGCCAAGCAGAAAGAATCGGGTAACTAAAGGGAGATTTCTCCCTTTAGAAGGAAAAGCTTCATTTTAGTTGAAAAGGAAAGACAATGCAGCTGTTTTGAGTAGCTTACATCTTTAGAAATGCTAATGAATGTGATTGAATTTCACTGAAAGTGGGACTGAACAGTGCAAGTCAAAAAGAAAAAGGAGTTTTGAGGAACTAGTCTCATTTAGAGACAAAGATCTTATTTACAGTAACTTTATCCTAAGATCTCCATTTGCACTGCTCCTAATTTAAAAATATAGAGCGAAAGCAAAAATGTTCACCTAAGCTTTTGGCTCATCTCGGCTTTTCTCTAAATTTCTTTTTTTGGGAGAAGCATTGTTCTCAAATAATAACCAGTTCAAGAAATTTGCTGTCAGATTCTGCTAGCCCATCCTTGTTTAATTAAATAGGGTATGCAAAATTGAGAAACAATGCAGGCAGGCAAAAGGAGCCCCTTGCCTCTATTGAAGGGCTCTGATGGTAATGGTAAAGTGAAGCTTGAGAGCAGTGGAGCTGTGTAATTGCCAAGGATTACTGTTGTTATTCTTCATTATACATGGATTTTTAAGGATAACAATTGATCTATCCATGTCGGCAACCAGCTCTCAGTTTTGGGGGGATTTGGAGGGAAGTCTTAGATAGCTACAAATGGTAAACTTGGCCTGTTTTGGATTCTTGGACTTCCTGCAGAGATTCTGCTCATGGCTGGGTGTTAATGAAGCATCCAAAATAAAAGATGGCAGGGAAGACAGAAAGTTGGAGGCCCTTGCAAGGAAAAAGAAAATAGCTTTCTCACCCATCACTAGGTTCATGGGTAAGGCCCCATAATAAAAACTAGATTAACAAGAGAAAAGTGCAGACTTTATTTAATAAGCTTTACATAAGACAGGAGCCTTCAGAAGTGAGGATACAAAGAAACAGAGAAAACTATGTATTTTTATCCTTAAGTTTGGTGAAGAAGTAATTAGTCATGCAAAGGCATGATTGGACAGAGTGGGTACGATAGAGAAGTGGTAATAAATTAGGGCAAACTTAGCAAAGCCTGTTTGATTCTTCTCTGTATCCCCCTATCTTCAGAAATACGGATGTTCCTTTCCTGCAGGTGTAGGGTGGGTACCTCTTGAATGAGGGTCTTACCTCCTGCGTTAGGGAAAGGAGCAGGAGAAGCAACCTTCCTAGGTTTTATGACCTGCTTCAGGAAAGAGGGGGTTATGAGAATGGCTTCTGCTGTTTTCTCAATGACAAGGTGCTATATTTGGGGGGTAGTACCGTCCAAACTCCATCACTCTGAAGAAACCTCTCATCTTTACATAATTCAGGTCCATCTTCCTGACTTCCTGTCCCAGGGTTCCCTTTCAGTCATCCTTTCTTTATCTTCATCTTCCCATTATCTGAATCAGCTTAGAGTCAGGAAAATAAAATGTAGAAATAAAGAATGTGGAGCAATTGCTTGTATCTATGTGCCCCCCCAAGCTTTTTGCCTGGTTTTATATATTTTTTGACACTGATAGAACCCTCAACTTAGAAAAAGTACCCGGTCCTCAGTAAATACTTGTGGAGAAATGCAGAATACATTTTGCTGGTAACTTGCTATCTCACCTTCATCCTGCCATGGGAGCCTCACTGGAGTGCGATAGCTGGGAATATCTGGCTTTGAGCAGGATGACGAGGCTTCCTTGTACCTGCCCATGATGAGCTCAGTAAATACTGAAGGAAAGAAGGAAGGAAGGGAGGGAGGAAGTTAGGTTACATTTCACTTCACACAGGATGACATGAATACATTTGTTTGGATGATAACCTCAGAAAAACAACTGAGATACCGAGGAAGAACATGTTATTACATCTCAACATTAAGTACGTAAAATATTTTGCACATTTTGGACAGATGCATTTCTTACAAATAAGGACAACTTTGCTTTATCTGCTTTGAATGTTAGGGCTTTAATTGTCTCTGAATAGACAAGCATTTTGATCTTTGGTAGCACTGTGGGACTAGGTATCTTTGTACTGAAAGATGAGAATGCTGAGGAAGGCCTTTAGAAGAATTTCTTAAGGTAGATAGAGACATTTAAATCAAAATGAAGATACAGAGAAAGCAAAGTGACCGAAATGCAGTGGGTTCAATAAGGCACTTGGGGAACAGGAAGGCCTAGGCACTGGTTGCCTGTGTCTGGGTGTGAACTGGCAGGAAAGATCTAGGCAAAGGTGCAAGAGCACGGACAGTTCAGCAAGTATGTCAGGAATCTCAGAATAATCTTCCTTAGCAGAGACTGGCAAGGCATCTATGAAGAGGAAAGCATTAGATGGAGCTTCTCTCTGTAAGGGCCAACTGAATAGAATAAACTGGCGGGGAATGTAGAGTGCCATTCTCATCCAGTGCAGGAGAGCAAAGTATAAAGCAAACAAAACCTTCTAATACATTGAAGGAATTGTGTTGGTGTATCAAATCATTTTTGGCTTTCATCTTTGCTTATGGCAATTTATTCATGCCATAGACCATAATCATACTTTTTGGTCAGAGTGACTGAGTGGAGAGGTGAAGAGAGAATTGAAGAGAGCAGGAATGTCACATGTACTGAAAGAGTTTTGGAGACAGAACCTTGGTTACAGAAATAGACGTTATTTAACCAGAAGAAGCAGCATGCTGAATGTAGGGAGTAAAAATAGCCAAATTCCATTTGCCTGTAGTGGTGCTAGAAGGAGTCATCTTACTGTATGAAGGTTAAAAAATTCAGCAGAGCTAGGAATGTCAGGTTAGGGATCCCTGAAGGGATTAGGGCATCTCATCTCTGGCCATCTCTGAAAACACAACTTTTGTCTTAGGTATTATTTTACCTGAGACATAAAATCACACACCTAATGTCAAGTTGACATTCTTTACAACCCTGTGATTTTTATGAATTGAACTTGTTGGCAAATGACATCAGAAACCAGAGAGAACTGGGCTTGAAAAACAACATGTATGGAAAGTAAGATCAAGGACCAGGACACAGAATGCGACAACAGGGACCAAGGGTCTGCCTGATGTACCTACTATGGCACTACTGACCCCATAGACATAGTCACCTGCATGAGGTTTTGGTGCCATCAGCACCTCGTGCCAAAAGCAAACAAGAGTGTGTTTACAGCTACATCTGGATTTGATCTTTATGCCTCGGACAGTCCAGCGTTTGTTTCCATCATTGGATGTGGGCAGGTCATGCTTAACCTCTGTGAGCCAAACCTAAGAGATCACCCTGGCTTTGTTGTATTCAGCAGCTCTTGGAAAGCTACCTTGGTGTTTGGAGCTGCTGCCAAACTTTTTCAACATAAATTTAAAATTACGAGGCTTTGCCACTTCTCCCCATGTGTTAAAGAGTTGCAAAAAGCCACTCTGAGTTCACTTTCCTTTAAGAGTCCTTTTTTTTTCTTCACATCGAAGCTGTCAATTCAAAAAAGGCTTGTTATAAATGGATTAATTTATGGCAAGATTGTTGATTGACAGGAAAAAGTTTGTTTTGTGTGGATTTGACATCACAGCCATGCATAGCCAATTTTCCCACTAACAGCTTCTTTATGGAAGAATTCTTCCAGCCACATTGCATAAACAGCTGTTGGAAACACCTTTGCATCGATCATTTGTAATAGTTTATTAAAGTGATACCTGGCAACATGTCTATATAGTTAAAGGCTTGCTCATAACCAAACCCCATTTTTCAGGAATTTATTACTCAAGCTTTTCAAATCATATCAAACTCAAACCTCAAAAGTGAACACTCACTCTAGGCACTGTCTCCTTCTTTACTGAGGGTTCTGAAGCAGGGGTCTCATTTCTTAGAATGACATGTGCCATGATTGATTATGCATCAGCTTTCTGAATAAAAAACAAAAAGAGGTTTTTTTTGTAATCATTTTTCCCTCTGAAAATATGGTAGCTTTCCTTCTCCAGATATAAATATTTGCAGAAGAGATGTCCTAATTATCATAAGGATGACCTTCTGATTTTTAAGTTTATATTTTTATACTCCTGTACCAGATTTGGACCCATCTCTTAATCCTTTGGATGGCTGCCATTTTCTCTCCTCTATTCTTTTTCTGTTTCCCTTTCCTCATACAACAAAGCCCTCCTCGACTTGCTTTCCTCTTTGTCTTTAAATTGAATGTAGCTTTCCTTCCTTAAAGTCTGTACTATAAAGCAGGTGAAAAGATGGACTTACTGAGACTAGGGTTGGAATGCCAGCACTTTCACATGCTGTGTGACTTTAGGAGAGATATTTTGCTGAAGTCCCTGTTTGTTTTCTCACCTAAAAAAATGGGGGCTATAATAGTACCAATTTCTTAGGCTTGTTTTAAGGTCTAAATAAGCTGATGCATGTAAAAGGCTTGGCATAGTGCAAGATTTTAACTATATAGTGGCTGCTGCCCTACAAATACAGGCCAAGGTAGGATTAGGAGATGACCCTCATTTTTTTGCCTGCTTGGGTCTTCCTCTAGTCTTCTTCTGAGGTCAGGACACATTTTGTTACAAATATTGATATTTCTTAGCTCCTCCATGGGATACTGGCAGCTTTTTTTTTTGGCAGCTTCTGCGGCAATGATGCCTCTTGCCCCAAACTTGGTATTTATGGAGCTTCCTCACAGGGGGTAGAGGAGGAAGGTGCATAATGAACTGTGATACTCCATTAGCCTGGATAAGCCCCAGAGCATATGAAGAGCTGAAGGAGCCAGCTGGCTCCCCAGTAAGCCCTGGTGCTGCCAAGACTTACTGACTGCTGACGAGGAAGCAAAGAGGAAAGGCTGGTGCTTGGAGGAGTGAGGAGGACATTCCCCCCACCAGGATTAGAAAATGATTGGCTTAGGCAAATCATGAGGATTGAATGAGCTAATGAATGCCTTGAAATCCATCGACAAAGATTCTATTAAAATCCATTGTATTAGTATGTCATTTCTCATCTCCAGGGCAGTGCGTCTTTGAACAGGATGGGAGCAAACTTTCTTGTGGATGAGTTGCAGTCCTTGAACTGACTTCTAGATCATATCCACACACTGTATGCAAAACATTGTGCTAGACTTCCTCCTCCAAAACGATCACACTTCCACAGCTGGATTCTTAAAAAGAAAAAGAAAAGCTGATTCCACAAATGTTGCTGGTAGGAAAAAACCCATGTAAAGTTTCTTTCTTTTCTTTCCTTTTAAAAAAAGTTTATTAAGAAAGAAAAGTCCTCTGCAGTTGGACTTTACTTGTTATTTTCCACAGATTTAGGGGGAGATAGTCAAAGGCAAAGTAAGTAATGTCTTCCAGCAGAAATGGAGTATTTTTTCTTCTGTCCTCGCAAAAATGTTGCTATGTGTGTCAGTTATGGAGGGTACATCACCCTCCTTTCTTCAGAAAATGTTCCTTTTGCTGCTGGTAAAAATAAAAATTCTCCTCCTACTGTGCATGCAAATTCTCATGGAAATATGGTTTTGCTCCTGAAAAATATCAGAAAGTAAAAATTGAAAATGTCGTGACATGTTTTCAAATCTACCAAAAATGCTCATGTGAAGCAGCAGTTTTTGGAGTTACCATGAAAACCATATTCAGTATGAATGTGCAAAATTATGATTTTGCACACTATTGCTTTAGTATACACACCTGAGAATTTTTTTTTCCTATTTGATTTTCATGAGAGTCAAACTTCAAACAAATAGAACTAATCAAACCAGACAGGTCTCATCCAGTGCTCCAGTATAAGCAGTAATAACAGCTGAGGGATCTTATTTAAAAGTACTGGTAATTCATGAGCTCTGCTATGTTGATACTATTTGGTGATCTGCACTCTTGTGATGCCATTCTCCACAGTGACAAAAGGCAGAAAAATCTATGTATTTTGACAGTATTCCAAAAAGCTCTCAGGGAATAGTAAATTTTTTGAAAAGAGGTAGACAGAAAAGATTGGCATTTTTCAAAGACAGAAGTGTACCTTAATGATTCTGGTAGCACCACCATTTTGAATCTCTTTTGAACACGTTGGGAGGAAAATCATGGCTAATGAAAATACCCATCAATTTCATCTCCTTTATATTGGGGGATGGTCCAATGCTTAAACAATTGCTGATGGGATCCCCCAGTAAGAGGTTACCTCAAAGTTTTCTGCTGAGTGAAATCACCACATTTGCAATCCGGGGACATATTCCATTTTCATGACTATTTGAAGATATCTCAAATGGCAGCACTGGAAAGTATTTGGACCAAGAATGATTGACAGTGTCTGTAAGTACTTATTACGTCAGGGCTTTAGTTCGTCGATTGATGGGAAATGATGTATAATAAATTAGAATGATCACACATCATTTCCCATCGATTGAAATGCCAAATCCTTGACGGAGTAATGAGTTATGGCCAATACCACTCACTGTCTTAGGAGGAGATTGATTGCATATCCTTTCATCGATGCGATCCAACAACACGAAATTCTAAGTACACATCTAGCTCCCAAATTTTACCATCATTCCAGTGCAGAGCATAAAGTTAGTGTTGCCTTGGTGAGTACAGTGCCATGTGGGTATTGGAGCATGGATATTCTTCATCATCTGATGCAGTGAGAGCTTCATTCGCCACAGAAATACAGATGCATCCTAAGTGCAGAGAGACTCAATGAAGCACCATTAGCCATCCTAGCTACAACAGAATTCATTTCCTTTGTAGAATAAAAAAGGAAGGCTCCCAGGTCTCTTCACAAAAGCAA